TCTTTCTGTCTTTTTACATGAGATACCTAACAGCTCTAGGTCTCAAGGCAGAAGCATCTATGAAGCGGAAGTCTGGAAATATTTTTGGTCGAAAGCAGGAATAGTGGCATCAACTGTGTTTGAATTGCTAACCCTCTTTCCTAAATCAATGATAGTACACGAATCATGCATTTTAACCGTGAAACAGTTGTTTCTTCTCTTTAAAAGCTGTAAGAAATGTGCATTTGTATTGAAACTCGGCTTGAGTTTTTTTTATATGATAGTCATCCAGAAGAAGAATAATTTCTATATATGACAAAAACCTGATGACAATTTGCGATGTGAAGGTAAAGCTTTTATGTTGAGTTTTATCCAATTGGAATGTGGATGGATAAACTTGGAAGGCGAAGAAACAAGGATGATGCTTCTCAGTTGCGTGCAAATTTTTTCCTGTGCTTTCTTTTTCCTTTCAAACAGAATTCTGGTGGCTTCCATATCCACTTTGTTCGTTTGTCAGATAGTCAAAGTCCAAGGGATGGAAGTGACATTTGAGACGGTGATGGTTTTCCAAACCTAAAGGGAAAAAATACAAAAAGAGAAGGCATTTTATTTATTTCTGTTTGTTGAGCTATCAATTGTGGCAGGTGGATTGGATTACCGGGATAAGCTTTCTTGCTGGTCCAATCGAACCAAACTAGTTCCTAGTTGGAATATTTAAACAATGTTCTTGTGTTTGAAATGATGATAGACACCTTTTTTGGTTCTCTTTTTACCTTCTTTTCTAAATATATTCCTTTATGCTTAGCTAATCTTTTCCTGTGCCATTACTTTTGCATGTAAAAAGGGTTAAGTAAGAGAATTTTATAAGATATAGAGAGTAACATGCAACCCAGTTTATGCAATTATTGTTATTCTATTATACAGAAAACTTGTAGGCTAAACATCTTATTTCACTCGTAAAAAGGAAAACCCACATTGTAGACTTGTATTGAAATCTTGTTATGCCCAAATTAATGTAGTGGGAAGCTAACCATTATCAATAATAATATAATATTTATTTGCATATATATCTCAAACAGCAACTAACTACCTTTTTTTTATTCTTTGAAAAGGGCTTTCAAAAGATATGCTCGAGAAATTTCATGATAAAAAGCACTTCCATTTTTGAGTATTCAATTTCCACTGCCATAATAAAAAACAAGGGAGGAAAAATACAGATGATTCTGCACTTATAACGTGACAGGCAAGATTTTTTAAATTTTTTTTTTATTTTTAAATTGCTTTATTGACCCATAAATTTTTTTTTTTTTTTTTTTTTTTTGGATTCAACATCAGTAATTCATTGGGAATGAAGTGTCATAAATAAATGAGCAAAACTCTTGTTTGCTTCAAAGTGACATACATAATTCATGAATTTCTTTTGTTATATTATGTATCCAACACGAAACATAAAATAAATGCAAAGGGTTTTTCAATTCACAAGAAACCGCAACTAAAGTCGTTCATATTTTTTATTTTCTAAATCAGAACTCAGAATATCAATCCCAAAACCAGACACATGAATCGAATATTCTTGAAATGAACAATAATTTAAATACATTAAGTAATTAAATATTTAATTATTTAATCCCCCAAAAAAATCAAAATACAAATTTAACCCATAAATTTGGAGGGTAATTTTTCAATTCACACCTGCACCAACGGTCTTAGAATCTTTAAACGCCCCTTATAAACAAACTCCTCATCAGTAAAACAAGCGAAGAAGATTCACACAGAGACAAAATCTGAACCACGTGTCCGTTTCCTCCTTCTCCCCCTCAAAAAACGTAACGAAAATCTTCTCTATATAAAATCCCTTTCCCCATTCCATTCCATGTCTTTCACGTATCCTCTGTTCCTTTCCCAGCTATAAATAAGCCACCTCTTTTGCTTTTTCTCTCATACAAACTCTTCCTACTTTCCTTCCGTAAACTACGTCTTACCTTCCTCTCCCTCCTGCTTCCTACCAATTTCATGGCCAAGAATATACTGGTCACCGGCGGTGCCGGTTACATCGGCAGCCACACCGTCTTACAATTGTTGTTGGGAGGTTACCGTACCGTCGTCGTTGACAATCTTGATAACTCCTCTGATATCTCCATCAAACGAGTCAAGGAACTCGCTGGTGAATTCGGCAACAATCTCTCCTTTTACCAGGTTCGTTATTCTTTTTCTTCTTCCTTTTTTAAATATTAATTTTTGTAACCGTTTCTATCTTTTTTAACTTTTTTTTAATACATAAAGTGTAGTGTGAATTTCACTGATTGAAGGGGGGGAAAAAAAGAAAAAAGTTCCTTTTTGGCGTCAAAAGTTTTGGGCCTTGGAGTTGGATAATAACTGTTTACGTAATTTAATGATGGAGTTAGCATCTGAATTATGCTTTCTCTGGCTTTAACAATGTTCTCATTTGATTACTTTTCTTAATTACGTAATTAATTGATTCATTTTGTTGTTTGAGTTGTGAATTGCTGTTTCTGATTCGACACTACGCGTAATTTGGCTGATTGCCAGCCTGTTTCATTTACAATTTGTTGTTTAGTCCCTAGAAATCTTTAGATTTGTTCTTTTCCCGGAAATTCTCAAGGTTTGAATTCTAACTTTCCTGTTCAAATTAGATTTGCCTGATTTCGATGTCTCAACTTAGAATCAAAACCTTGGTTTCTTCAAATGCGATGTCATGTGGCTCACTGTTGCGAATTATTCTTGTCTTATTTTGATTTGCGCAATATAAATTTACCAAAATTCATCATGCCCTGATGTTTTTTTACCTCCCTGCTTTAACCGCAGGTGGACCTTCGAGACAAGCCAGCGCTGGAGAAAATTTTCTCTGAAACAAAGTAACTTTCCTGTCAATCTCTTTCTATATGTACCTCCTTTTGTTTGAAACTGATTGTTGTGGAGCATTTTCCTCGTGGCATGTCTTTGTATGATCCCTTATTATATCTTGTTTGGTCTTATTATTACCTCTGGATTGACAGCTATTGTTACTCATCTGTGTTTCTCCAATTTGTGTCTCGATTCTTTATATGGCTGTTATTATCAATAAAGGGTGAAGAGAGACCAAAAAGTGGGTTGTTAATTGGACCCAACCTGTTGGTTAAAATGTCTTGATGTGAAAACCATTTACTAAAATTTATAAATAGGATATATTCTCCATTGGACGAGGAACCAATATGCCTTTTGTATTTCAGGTTTGATGCTGTTATACATTTTGCTGGACTGAAAGCTGTCGGTGAAAGTGTAGAGAAACCATTACTTTATTATGACAACAATCTCATAGGAACAATTGCCCTGCTGGAAGTAATGTCTGCACATGGGTGTAAAAATGTACTCCTGTCTTTCTCCCTCAGATAATATTTTATCATCAATCTTCTGGTTTTTTGGATCTTTGTGTTGACTCTGTACCATGATCAACATGGCTAATATTCTCAGTTTTAATTTGTTTCAGCTTGTGTTTTCATCATCAGCAACTGTGTATGGCTGGCCAAAGGTTGTCCCATGCACAGAAGAGTTCCCCTTGTGCGCAGCAAACCCCTATGGACGAACTAAGGTACTGAATATATATCTTTTACTGCATTAGATAAATGGTTTTTACTTTTGCTGATTGAACTCTATAAAAGTTTTCTGAAACCTTTTCAATGATCAACTCGTTGATATCATCTCAAGTTCTCTACGATGATTAATCTTTCAGCTTTTCATTGAAGAGATTTGCTGTGATATACATCGCTCTGACTCTGAATGGAAAATCATATTGCTGAGATACTTCAATCCAGTTGGAGCACATCCTAGTGGCCACATTGGTGAGGATCCTCGTGGAATTCCAAACAATCTCATGCCTTTTGTCCAACAAGTTGCTGTTGCTAGGAGACCAGCCTTGACAGTTTTTGGAAATGATTATAACACAGTTGATGGAACTGGGGTATGCATTTAATCAAGTATTATGTTATTTTTATGAAATATTTTGGTTTACATGCACTTTTGAGACTCCCAGTTAGGAAATATACATTTGTCGTTGCAACTTCCACTTTTAGAAAGTACCATAATATTTTTGTCAGAGTGGTTAAATATTGCTATAAAAGATAATTCTGAACATGATTTAATCATAACCTTCGTGAGAATCTTTTATTCGCTTGAACTTGGGAAACTTCTCTGCTGTGGATTTGACCTCATAGAAATTTATTCCTGGCAACCTGAATAATTTTCTTTTCCTAGTCACCAACCAGGTACCAAGATAGAAGGGGTTAATCTTCATTTTGTGTATCCTGTCTCAGGTGCGGGATTACATTCATGTTGTTGATTTAGCAGACGGGCACATTGCTGCACTGCGTAAGCTATCTGATCGTAGCATAGGTATGTGTAAAACGGCTGTTCCCTTTTTTTATTTTGCTCAATTTCTGATATTTGCCATATTTATTTTCTGGTCCATTAATTTGAAAATTGAGCGCCCTATTTCTAGTTGGCATGCATGGATTTCTTGGCTGTTCTACATATGTTGTATAATTCTTTGATTTATGGAAGCACCCTCCTGATGCAAAGATACTTCTAGTGAGTCTTCTTCCTTCTATAAAATATTTGGTTTGCAGGTTGCGAGGTGTACAACCTTGGAACAGGCAAAGGAACGTCAGTCTTGGAGATGGTCTCTGCATTTGAAAAGGCATCTGGAAAGGTAGTTTTCTTTATCTGATATTTAATTCCCGGTGCTTTGAGCCATTCCTAGTGTTAAATATATTTGCTTCAGTTCTTTCTTTGCAAGCCATGTAGTAGTTATTAATTTTATTTCTTTCTTAAACAACAAAATCCATTTTAGTTGTCAAAAGGAATTACTCAAATAATGTTTCGTAAAGACAAGGAAACTTGATTCTGAAGTATAGTTGTGAAATTCGACAAGGACAACTACCTTCTTTTTTATAGCCTCACCATTTGTACCTCTTCCAGAAATAATCGAAACCCAGACCTTGGACTAATATGATTAACTGAATTTAAAGAATCAAATCCAAGAATTTGGAAGATGAATTAATTGGGTATCCCCTTGAAGAATCCTGGAACTTGTCCTGCAAGTTATTTCTTTTGCTCGTTATGTATGTACCTTTTGGTTCTTGCTTCTCATAGATCATGCTTTGATTATTTTCATCAGAAAATTCCTCTTGTCATGGCTGGACGGAGACCTGGTGATGCTGAGATCGTGTATGCATCAACAGAGAAAGCAGAGCGTGAATTAAATTGGAAGTAAGTGTTAATGTATGTTTACACACAAATCTTTGTTGAAAATACTGTTGGATCTTCCAATTTTGTCAGTGGCTATTCCTTATCTAGTCCATATTTATTCGTTACCGAGTAGAAACACAACTGTTTTTAAGATTTTGGCTTTTAAACAGCATATAATGCCAATAAGTTTACTTTATGGAACTTATACTCATATTCAATCTGACGACAAGATCTTCAAAGTGGAGGACTTCTGTCGCTTGTATCTTTTCCTATTCACTGTTTAGGTTCATAATATATAGAATGGACTTCCTCGCCAGGTCAAAATATGGCATTGAGGAGATGTGCAGGGATCAATGGAACTGGGCAAGCAAGAACCCTTATGGCTATGGATCTCCTGAGACTAATCATAGTTGAGAGAGCTTTTACTCCTGCTTAACTCTATACTGTTGCTTTGCGTCACATGCACAGTATCATATGCTTATAGGTCTCTGAATTCTGGTAGTAGGTTTTCCTGAACTTCCATTGACCACATTCTTAAGCTGATTATTATTTCAGTAGTAGCATATACCAAAAAAAAGATATAAATAACTAAATAAAATAAACAGTGAATAAAAATACTACACAAAGGTTAATTTATAGATGCCTCTTTTTTGTACCTATTTCAAGTCACAATGCTCTGTGGCTGTACAGGGGTGCTTTCTTTTTCCAGGATATTGAGAATGTACTGCTACAGATCTTATCAGAATCTAAATTATTTATCCTCTTGTATTTAGCCTGATAATTTTTTCCTCGTTATCTGGTGTATGTAATGGCAAATTTTGAGTTGGAATCTTTTATAAGTAAATTAGTTCTTTTTAATCTGTTAATCGTGGCTTTGCCCCAAGGCTGGAGTGACAAAGTCTGTGATGTTAAGAAATGATTTCTGCCGGAAGCAGGGCATTTTTCCAATTCTTTTTTTTTATCCCTTCTCCCTACATCCAGCTACGCACAGGATATGAGTTGAAACTACACTTTCAAGGGAGGGAGATAGATCAAAAGAATAATCATTCAATTAAATGATAATTTGTGGGAATTTTTCAAGTTTATTTATAAAAATATATAATTAATTATTAATAATAAAATGTAGGAAAAAATTAATAAAGTTAAAAAATTTTTAAATACTTTGAATATTTTTTAAAATTTTTTAAATTTTCTTTGCAACCATTGTAGGCCTCTAGTATGGTCAGTAAATCAATTACAGAATTCATTTCTTGAGTGCATAATAAAAGTGCCCTCTCCGTTAGCTGATCCAACAAAGTCAAGTAATTGATTTGGCCTCTTTTTTAAGGAAAAGAAACATTATATAGATTTATGTTAAAGTTAAATCAATTACTTGAACTAATTGCTTTCACATATTTAAGAAAATATTCATATCAAGACCATTTAGCGAAAAAGTCAACAAGAAGGTCTTCCTATGAAAGTCACAGGTCATGCTAGGAAAGCAATTCGTACAAGTATTTTTTTTTTCTATATTTAGTGATAAATGAAGATAGTCGGATCAATTTCGCTAACTAAATAGAATAACATATTTTTAAAATAAAGAGAATCAACCTTCACAATATTCTTTTTATTTTTTTATCCATACTAGGTTAAGACATTTAAGAATAAACTCCAGTTTCAATAATAGTAAAGGAAATGATGCAAATGTTAGTAATAAATACATGTAATCCTAGTTTTTTTTTTTTTTTTTTTCAAACCACTAACGACCATAGGCATGAAGTTGCCCCAACTAAAGACATCCATGTTGAGCTTGTAACCGTAGGTGCCATTTGTAAAAAAATTGGGTTCTCCAGGAGCTTCAACTATATATAAGTTTCTTGAAATTCTAATATTATCTTATTATCAATATCATTATATAGGAGAGGTTACGAACAATTTGCTCTATAAATATATTAGTTCCTTTTTTTTTTTTTTTTTTTTTTTGTGAAGAGTCATGTTATGGTGGAGAAGATAACCTTTTAGCTCACAATTCCATGGGTGCTCATATTTGTTTTTGAGATTTTAAATGATCCACCAATCAAGATGGTTTAGTAAAATTATCAATAGACTTATTCGTCACCTCCTTAAAATACTACCAATCATGTAAAACATACGTAATGCTTTTGTATTTTGAGTTGGTGATAAATTCAAAATTTTCATTCTTATATCTGATTGAGGTGATCAAAGCCTGTGAAATGTATATCAAACCCGACTTATTATCATTCATATTTTTTTAAATAGTACTTATACAGTACCGTGATATCTATTATACTAATATTTAATAAGATTAAATATTTTATTGTGAATGATATATTGTATACTAAAATATTTGAATCTATAATATCTCATCATAGTCTCATTGACTCAGTAATTAATGAATATCCATAAATGATAGTATAGAATAAAGATAAAAATAACAATTTTTTTTTATTAATGAATGTTTACTACATTATATTTAAAATAAAATTATCATAATGATTTTTTGATACATTTCATATAACTAGTTTTTTTGAACACACTATTACTAATAAAGTGTTAGATGAGATGCATGGTAATAGAGCAGTCTATCACTAATATAAAGATTAATCCAGAACTTGATCATTTTCTGATCTCTACTGACCATATAATGCTCATTTTTATGATGGCATATTATTATTTGAATAAGTCTCTCCACATTTAGGAACTCTTACAAGAAAATATACATCAAGGATCTTGATTCATGAAGTATTTTGATAGGTCCCAGTCAGATAGGTAAATAATTCTGCTTATGGTGAGAATAAAATCAGAAAATGTGTTGCTTAAAATGTTCTACTTTTATTCATTGATAATGTATCCTCAAATGCACATAGAGATCAACCAATTTCTTACATTTATGAATGGGGATAAACTTAAAAATTTGAAAGCTAGAAATAACAAGATAATGGAGAGTGAGAACTGAAGAGGATTGACCGGTTCTAGTGGTGGCTGTTTGAGGGTGTTGATCGGTTCTTCTACAACTTTTTTTCTTCTTCTGCTCTTTTTCCGTTTCGCTCCTCTTCTTTGGTTTAGTGCAGGTACTTCAGGTTGGGCATGGGTTTTCTATGGGATTTTCTAGGCTGCTCTTTTATGGGCTTATCATTACTCCCCCTGTTTGAAGGAGCCTTGTCCCCAAGGTTCAGGTTGAGAAATTTTTCCAGGAGTTATTACGTATTTTTCCAAGTTGCATCTTCCGTTGGTAAATGCTGCCACTTAACCACACTTTCTTCCACAACTTTAGACCCTCTATTGATCCAACGGGTGTCGAAGATGTGTACTAGTTGTAGTATGATGTCACCTTCTTCAGTTGTGGGTGGTAAATCTTGGACAGTCTCCCAATTTTTTCTTAAGCAGTGATACATGGAAAATGGGGTGTATTCGAGTTCCTTCGAGCAGCTTAAGCTTGTATGTTACTAGTTCCATTTTTTGTTCAATTTGGTATGATCCAAATAATCGATAAGATAGCTTTTCAGTTGCTCTTCAAAATACGGTTTGATGCTGGTATGGTTGGTATTTGGGAAAAACCTAATCTCTAATTTTAAATTCCACATCCTCTTGGCATTTGCTTGTTGTTGCATGCGATCGATTGCGGCGTGGAGGTTGTCTTCAACTGTATAAGTAATTCGTTGCAGTCATTGAGTTGTTGATCAACTTAATTAATAAAGGTCGTGTCTTTGTGGTAGTATGGAATGGTGGGAGGGGATCACCAATACAATGCCTGAAAAAGGGTCATCCCAACAGAAAAAAATGAAAGGTAGTATTGTACTAAAACTCAACCCAAGGGAGGAGGGCGCTGTATTTGCGAGGTTGCTAATGGGCGAGCCACCAAAAATACGGCTCAACACATTAATTGACTATTTCCGTTTGACCATCAATTTACAGATGGTATAAGGAACTTATTTTCAGTTAGGTTCTTGACATTTTAAAGAATTCATTCCAGAAATGACTTATGAAGATGGGGTGCGGGTCACTGATGATGGAACATGGCATACCATGGAGTTTTACCACCCTTTCGACAAACTTATCAATTATCGTCTTTGTGATATAAGGGTGAGACAAGGCCAAGAAGTGGGCTGCTTTGACAAGGCAATCAACTACAACCAAGATTGTGTTTTTACCTTGTGATGGTGGAAGCTCGTCAATGAAATCTATGGTAATGATATCCCATATTTGGCAAGCAATAAGCAATGATTGAATGAGACCTGCAGGTGATAGGGTGTCATATTTAGCTCACTGACATGTCTCACAAATTGATACATATTCTTGGACTACTCTTCACATTGAGGGCCAATAGATCTACTGTGCAAGTCTCTTGTAGGTACAAAGCATGCCTGAATAGCCCCCTATTTGGGAATCAGGATAA